AAAAAATGTTCTTTTCAAATACCACTCGTCCTTATAAATTTGATCTATTAAATTTTGAGTTTCTATACTCAAACGCCTTTGGTAAAATTCAAAAAATATATGGTGTAGGTACCTACCCTACCCACCTACCCACCTATCCACCCCAAATTAAATTAAATGGGGGTGGGGTGAGGGGTGTTTTATATAGCGGTATCAACTTAGTATTTAATTTTTTTTATGATGCATTATCAGACACGTAGAAACGGTTGGTTGACTTATAGTACTTAGGCCTCACTTGGTCATTGAGCACGGAAATTATTTTATTAGATAACACTCAAATTCAATTCACATATTTTTTGGAGGTAGTTATTTGATACTGAGTTGATTTTCAAGTGTATTTAATATGTTTCTAGCGGATGGTTAGATAAAATGTTGATTCAACGCACCTTAAAAGCATGTAAATTAAATTTGGGGAATCAAACCATATTTTTAAAAATCTTATGTGGCTAGTTAAAAACCTATGGCCATCTGGTATAATAAATTTCTTGAAAACTCTTATTTTCATTTTATATTATTTTTAATTCGAAGAACTGGTGGATTATTTAAATTTTCATCTAATTAGGAAAAACCATAAGCACTTGGAATTTAATTATTAATTTAGAGTTTAAATCATTTTACCAGAGACGGCTAGTGGCCTATTCTACAAGGAGCCTACAGAGCCTAAGGAGGCTACTTTTGAAAAGCACACCCTATATACTTAATACAAATATATATTTCTATTATAATACAGAAAGCAGAAATATTACATTGTATTCTAATATATATCTTTGTATTAATTATATAGGGTGTACCAGCCTCCTCTTAGACTAGGCCACGAGCCGCTTCTGCATTTTACTACCTGTAAACCAAACAAAATATTTTTTAACCGATCCATTATGAAATGAGACTTTAAATAATCTACTTTGCTAAAAACGAAATATTTTCGATATTATTTTAAAATTAGATCTCAAATTAGTGATACGTTATTCTAAAAATTAAACATTCATTATAAATAACTTTATAACGTAATTACAAATTAGCTTATTCTGATGAAATTTCCACCTAATTAGTAAAAACCAGAAGCACCTGAAATTTAATCAATTTCAAATTTAAATCATTTTACTACCTACATAAATCCATTCATTTAAACTAAACAATAGTTATTTGTGTACCACGGTCGTTAAGTTGATCTTTTTTGGCCGAATCAGAAACTTGCAACATTTTTTAGGCGACTGCCTTATCTTGTGTTTGAAAAGAGGCTTAAATGCAAGAATTGCTTCCAATTTTTAATGATCGAATAAAAATCCATCGCTAATTAATAAAATTTGTACAGAATTATTAACGATATGTATGATAAACCTCTGTTTAAGAAGCGCTCGTAAAGTAAACGCAGCCAAAAAGGTGAGACTTTAGATATATCAATAAATAAAAGGTAACGAGAAAGAACGCCATTGTATTCTACTGAACGAATATAATTTCATATCCATTCTAGGTAGTAGAATAGATTATATTAGATTTGAAAAAGTTGGACATTACTTGTCATCTTAAATAATGTAAAAGCTTTGGCTTTAGGATTTTCTAGTTTTCTAAATACTACACCTATAGCAAAAGCAATATCTCGTAGTCATTAATAGTAGTTTGTGCAACAAAAGAGTTGTACAGAATATTTTTTCTACGACCCACTAACGAACATTTACAAATAAAAAACATATTTTAGGTTTTTAATACAAAATAACTAATTTTAAAATAATTTATGGATTTTAATAATTTTTTAAATACAAGTATTAGAAATTAAAAATTTAAAAAAACCGACTTCAAAAACGTGCAGATGCCATCACCACATCTTAACCAAATTTGTATGGGACCACCCTTGAGATACCCCTTTACTAACAAAAAAAGAATCATATAAAACGGAGAAGGTGGTAAAATATTATTGTTAAACATACATAAAAAATGAAGAGTTTGAGGATTTTCTCATGGACCCAATTATTAGATTTTGACCAAATTTATATGGGACCACCCTTGAAGTACCTCCTTTCTAACAATAAAGAATCATTGAAATCAGACACCGCGTTAAAGAATTATCGCTGAACATACATACATAAAAAAATATATTGCGACGAATTGAGAACCTCCGCCTTTTTTGAAGTCTTATAAATAAACGAAAAAAAAGTTAATTTTTCCCCATTCGAGAATCGAACTCAAGTCTTCCATGTGGAAGGCAAGAACCCTAAGCTCTACGCGTAATTAAATTGACTTCATATAGTTTTATTTAAATTAACAAATTATAATTATAGACGAAATAAAAATATAAATTCTATTATTTATCGATTCTAAAATAACTCATTTTAATGTATGTTTATTCTCAATAACTAAAAAAATATACTGACAATTAGTTTGACAGAATTGTCACTTATTTAAAATTTTAAAAATAATAGCAGTCGGTTGATCAAAATATGAACTGTGACTGGTGTATTTCATTTCTAGAATGGATATGAAATATATTCGTTCAGTTAAAGGCAATAGCTTATATCCATGTGGGTGTAGAAAAATAAATTAATACACCTCTTGGCTTGCTTTCCACACCGTTGTAACATTTTCTTTATGTAGGCATTTTTGTTGACGGTGATTGTTTCAGCTTTTTTTCTATTTATTTTTAGACCAAGAAGACAAGAAGCAGGTTTTATGGTTTTTAGGTTTTTTAAAATGTATTTTTAATATCTTTGTAATTTCATGCTAACAATTCATTGTCTACATATAATACTAACATAATTATATCGCCGTTTCCTTCTTTATAAAAAGACATGAATCAGCCTCACTTTCTGTAAAGCCTGACAGGATAATAAAGTCAACACATTTGCTATTCCAGGATCGAGGAGCTTGTTTAAGAACGTAAATGCTTTTGTTCAGGTGACTCAATTAGAATCGTCATGATAACTTTTTGGTTGTCTCATAAATACCTCTTCTCTTATTTTTTATATATAAACGCTGTACAAACATTAAATTGTGTTAAAACCAAGTTTGCAACTGAAATGAAGCTTTGATCATAGTCTTTGCCATTTCTCTGTTAGTAACCTTTTATTACTAACCTTGCTTTATACTTGTCTATGGAACCATCTGGATGTGTCTTAATTTTATAGACTTATTTGCAAAAAATAGCTGATCAAAAGTCCAAGTATTGTTTTCTGCATTTTTTCTCATTACCTCTTTCCACATTGCAAAGTCTTCAAATATGTCTAGCTTTCTGACATTATCCCTATTTCTAAGAATACTACCAGTTTCTTTATAATTTTCATTCATTGTGTCCTCATGTACTTCATTTATGTCTTTTCCATTATAGGTTTTATTTTAATCTATCTTAATCACTTTTTTCTGTAGTTTAATCTCTATACTATTTTATACTCTTCTGGATTCCTATTTATAGACTCTTCTGATCTTGTATCAAACTGGCTTTGACTTGATTGATCATCGCTTTGATTTGCTTAAGATAGTATGGTGGGCATGTTTACAGAAGAACCATTATTTCGATGAAAGTGACATCACGAGATCTTATTAATGTTTTGTCCTCTTTACACCAAATACGTTTATCATCATTGTTGTCATATCCTATAGGATTTTATTTCCTTTACAGACTTTGTATTCATTTTCCTTCTTTGTTGTTTAGAAATGTAAGCATAGCACCTATTTCATTGCGGATATAGCTGTGTTCACCATTTTTTCCAAAAGCTCTGAGGTAAACTTGCTTGTTTACAAATTCTCCAAATTTTCATAACATGCTCAGTAGTTCTTATCTCAGACATAACAGCCTGTAGATAATTGGCTACTTCAGACTTCTTCTTCATAGAACACACAAATCTAAACCTACTAAAATTGTAACAAAATATCTGCAACCTCAGAGTTTTCTTAAAAAGGTCCAGATACATCAGAATATAAAAGTTCTCCTAAAGATGTTGATCTGTCTCTGTAACAAAATTAATAAACTTACACCTTTCCATAAATACAGCTTTCAGATATCTAAACTTTATACCTAGTTCTCTTGAGGTTACCATCCGAACATATTTCTTGTTTTGGTGGTTAGATCTTTAATGGTATAATTGAAGAAAATTTTCATTTGTGATTATTTCAGATTATGTCTTGTTTCTATGTCTTTATTGCAGAGCTAACTTGTATAGTCTTCCATGTCGACTTCTTTTACCTGCTAAGACTGTTCTCCCGGCTATTTCCAAGGAACATACTCCAGTAGTTGAGTAAAAGTTGCTGTCTTCCTACTTGTCTTATGGAAAAAGAACTGTAAACAGATTTTTCTTAATTTTTAGTACATACCAAATATCTGCAAGGGTAATTAAAATTTTTCTGCCATTTGCTAGTGTGGTTTCAAGTTTTATGTTACCTTTTCCTCAGGCTTCAATGGTATCTTTATTAGCTGTGGTCAATGATCAAAAACTTTCAATTGATTCGTAAGATTCAAATAAATTACGACCGTTGCAAATGTGATTTGTTGTTCCATTATCAACGAACTAACTTTCTCTGTCGCTAGGGTAACGTTCGAGGAGGAATAATAACTCGTAACGTTATTGGAAGAAGCATAACCAGCATTTGGTTCTGGAGGTATTCTACCTGCCCTTCATTTTTCACATTGCTTAACTTTTTGATGTGGTTCTTTACAGTACTTACCTTTCTAGCTATTAAACTTCTTCGATGCTAAAAGAACATATTGACTATATTCGCACAATTGTTGGATAGAGTTTTTTTTAATAAACACGTAGTTGACTGGTTAAATTTTCGAACGTTCTTTCTATATTCTTTCTGTATTGCTTTAATTGGAAAATAATCATGTGGCAAAGTTCCCAATATTTTGCAGACCAACAGCAAATGTGGTAAATTACAGCTACAGCATTTTCCACTAACAGTTTTTTCTTTTAAAAATGTATACATTTCTCAGTGTACGCAGAACAAATATTTATATTAAATTTGTTTTACAGGATGCCAACAAAATTCCAGCACAACCGATGATCTACAAATTCAACATCAATTCCACCATCTCCAATCGTTTCGCAAAGACTTTAGTTACCAGCAAAGTCAGGAATCCAGAGACCACATCGAAAGAGGTCACCTTCACGGTGGTCCTTCCAGAAAAAGCTTTCATCTCTGAATTCGTCATGGAAATTGACGGCAAGAGCTACACGGCTTACGTCAAAGAAAAGGAAGAAGCTAAGAACATTTATGACAAGGTAAGATTTTTACAAACGAACATTATGGCTATTATTTATACGATAATATATTACCATTATTGTGACCATTATTGTAATCTTTAATATGATCATTGGTATGTCCATTATAATACTATTGTTATGATCAATACTATAATTAATATTATAACCACTATTATGACTTATTATAATTAATATTATGATGAATATATTTATGTTTTTAGGCTGTCAGTAGTGGAATGAGCGCAGCACATGTTGCAGTAAGCGCCAGAGACTCCAACAGATTTACAGTCTCCATCAATATAGAAGCAGAGAAAAAGGCAACTTTCCTCCTTACCTACGAAGAACTTTTGGAAAGAAGAAACAATAATTACGAACTGGTGCTAAACATTCATCCAGGACAGATAGTCAAAGATATGACAATCGATGTAAGTAATATTTCGTAGGAGATAACAAATTTGCTATCCTGTTCTATATGTATTAATTTAATTATTTTAGATCTTCATCAACGAGAGCAGACCCTTGAAATTCGTGCGTACTCCATCGATGAGATCGGGTAACGAAATTGGTAAGAACAACGAAAAATTGGAACCACAAGCTGAAATCGAAGTTATTAACTCGACCAGTGCTAGTGTCAGATTCGAACCAAACGAAGAACAGCAAAGAGGCTTCGCCAAAGAGTTGGGCGTCAAGGAAAATGAAGGAATATCTGGTCAATTCGTTTTGCAGTACGACGTCGAAAGAGGAGAAGGAGGAGAGGTTTGTCTACTTGTTTGACTCGCATGAGTAGATAGAGATAGTAGATTATTTTCTTTCCAGGTGCTTCTTCAAGATGGGTACTTTGTTCACTTTTTCGCACCAGATTATCTGGAACCTCTACCCAAGCACGTGGTATTTGTTTTGGACACGAGTGGTAGTATGTACGGTAATAAAATCAAACAACTTAGAGAAGCTATGGTCAGTATTCTTGACGAATTAAATGAGGCTGACTCTTTCCATATAGTCGAATTTAACACTAACGTCTATGTGTGGGATGTTGAAAAGCAAGAAAGAGTACTAGCTACAATTGATAACGAAAAAGAACCTTTCGAATCCCTATTGGTAAGTTGACAGTTTTCTTAGTTCAAGAATCAAATTATATACATTTTTCTTTTAGAAAAAAGAATATCCTCTTGCTCTTCAAGCCACTAAAGAAAATATTAAGAAGGGTAAGGAAGTAATTGAAAAACTAGTGGATGATTCGCTAACTAGTATATTGTCAAGTTTGGAAACAGCATTGCATTTGGTCAACTTGGATCTGAGAAAAGGAAAAGCCGAAGGAACATTTAAGCAACCAATCATTGTATTTTTGACTGACGGTGAAGCCACCGTTGGAATTAGTAATTCTGAAGAAATTACCAAAATTGTAAGTTTTAAAAGTCATCTTGAATTCGACATTTATTTAACATTTCATGTTTTAGGTGACAAATATTAATACTCAAAAAGACCAAGTTCCAATCTTCTCCCTATCATTCGGAGACGGCGCTGATAAAAGTTTCCTTAGAAAACTCTCCTTGAAAAACAACGGATTTTCAAGGCATATCTACGAAGCAGCCGACGCAGCATTGCAACTTCAAGAATTCTACAAGCAGATTTCTTCACCACTTTTATCAAATGTAAACTTCAAGTATACTTCTAACGTAGAAGCTGTTACTAAGAAGGTGTTTCCTATTTATTTCGGAGGTTGCGAGTTGGTATTGGCTGGAAGAACAACAGGTATAGTAAACTTTCAGAGATCCACAGATATATGGAATGAAAACAACGTTGCTTCTTATTAAATTTAATGTTACTGTTGCAGATTCTGAATTGAAATTCATTACAACCGGCTCAAACTTGAATGGTACTACTACAGTGCCTTCAGTCGTAGAAACTCCAGTATCATCATTGGAACGCCTATGGGCTTACTTGACGATTAAACAAAAATTAGAGGAAAGAGAATTGGCCGAAAACAAGACCCAATTAACCAAGGAGGCTTTGGATCTGGCATTGAAGTATTCCTTCGTTACCGATGTCAGTTCGTTGGTGGTAGTCAAACCCAATGATACCAGCGCTGTTAATACCGAAGATGCTTCAAGTAAGTAGCCGTCAAAATCTCATTTTAGATCAAAGATAGATATTTGCAAATAACAGGTAAATTCAGAGATGGTGGATTAGCAATAGCAGTAATCACTAAACACTTGTTAGAAATTTTACAGGAAAGGTAGAATAGAAAATAACATTCAGTGTTTTTAATAATATTTTGAATATAGATAAAACTTTAGAATGTTTTGGCTAATTTTAATCTACATGTAGAGGATGATATAGCTCCTTTAGTAAAAATAGATAGAGCCTGCATTGTTGCTGAAATTTGATAAACAGAGAAACAACTACTCCTTTAGCTAATACTGCAACAGGTATTCAAAAAAATTGTCTGCCTGGCTCCATCTTTTTTTCTAACTGGGTTCTACAAGCAACCATTGATTTTGCTTACTAGAAGTAGATGGCGTTATCATTTTCACTTCTTGACTACTTATCCTCTTTGATCCTCTTTGTTATTGTATATTACAACATTGTATACATTAGAGACTGGAATTAAGAACCTATCTATTTCTTACTGATGAGCTCCAATAAGCACGGAACCGGTCCAAGAATGACGTTCTCCTTAGTAAGCAAAATCAAAAGTAGAGTATTGAAATTAAATTTATATTTCTGCTGTCTTTCCTTTTAATATAATTCAATATCTGTTGCGGTATTAGCCAAAGGTATAATTGTTTTCAAAAAGGAAACGGTAGCTCGCATTTTATGTGACACATGGATTTGTTTGTATTTTAAATGAATATAACTTCGAGAGAGCTTACTTTCTATTACTATTGAGGGACTTACGTCTGGAAAGACTAGGGAAGTAAAATATTAACGACTTATTTTAATCAAGTCTTTAATAATATCTTATAATGGTTTTAAAAAATATCAACTTAGGATTCACCCTGTATATTCTTACCAATGGACTCCGTTTGGACTATGTTTGGTAGGTAAACCTACCTTACTGTTCATTCACTAACGTGTTATTTTAGGTATTTTTATTTTTAATATTGTTGATTGCTTGTATTGAAAAAAAAAATGCAAATGAAATATGTAAATTGAGTTTCAAATAAATAAATAAATAAATATACAGGATTGGCAAATAATAAAGGTAGATAATGTTACAAATAATTTTTGTTTTCAGATTCAAATCAGTATGGTGGTGGTGGTGGCGCATTTGGTCCTCTCAGTATACACAGTGCAGGAATGCCTGGATTACATTATCCTGTGCCTTTGTTATACAGACCGGCAACGAGCTATGATGCTTTCTCTGCATCAGGTAAGAGCCAAAAATAATAATAAATTATATTATACTGGGTGAGTACGAAGAACTTTATATACTTCGAACGTATATAGAGCCTTTTAAGGGCTACTAACTTCTAGTCCAAATTAATATTATTGCGCCTTTGATGCGTTAATAAATACATGTTGGCTCAGAGCTATGCTGCCAGGTAGTTAGTTTTGATTTTACCAGTAGATGACTCCGCTTAGTAGAACTATATATTTTGAATCCGACAAACTCTTATCTACATCCGTATTAATAAAACATGTTTAAATAGTTACCTACTTGTAATTCCGTAACTTTAGAAAAGTCATTTCAAAGAAAAAGTACAGTTGGACGATATAATGAGTTTCAATCAATCTTTGAATCGTTACTGTGATCAGTAAAATTTCATCAGTAGGTGACTTGAAATCGCAGTGTTTAAAACCTACAAATTAAGGCAATTTTTAAGTACCCTCGGATCATTTAGAAAACAGAGTCAAAATAGCATACATTGCTTATGAACAATACCGCCGAACCGTGGTACGCACCTGGGGTTTCTCTCCCAAAATCATCGCATGAACTTACACGGCTATCCTTAGACCTATGCTAACGTACGGTGCAGCTGTCTTGGTACCCAAACCCAAAAATTAACAGCTATCCGCAAACTAGAACAAATTCAAAGAACAGCATGTCTCAACATAACAGAAGCCATGAAAACAACACCGACCAGAACCATGGAAGTCATTCTTAGTCTCACTCCCCTTAATATTTACATCAAGGATGTTGCTCTGACGACAATGACATGCCTCCGCACGGTTGGAATAGAACCTGATATAGGATCTGGTGAGGCGAGACGTCACTTTTGGCAGGAGGCGCTCGATACGCTTCCACTGCTTCAATCGAACATGGACTCCATCTCACCAAGCTATATCTTCCATAAGCCGTATAAAGTTATAACAGAACAAATAGAAGAGCCGGAAGTGGCAGGTACGATTCATATCTACACCTACGGTTCTAAAATAAAACAAGGCTCAGGATGTGAAATATACTGTAATGATATCGCACCTGAATACCATTTTCATTTTTATTTTAATTAAAGTATTTTTTTTTTTTTTTTATCCCAGGGGTGCTTCCAAATTATAATATTAATACTGTTTCATTTTGTTTAATCTTATATGAATTCTATTTCAATTTTGTTTTAATTTTATTTAAATTTTATTTTAATATTATTTTAATTATATTTTAATTTTATTTTAATTCTATTTTATAATTTTATTTTAATTTAATTTTGTCAATAATCAATAAAAAATAAAAAAATTATGACTTGATTTGTTCTATACCCTGTATATCCAACTAAATAAATAAACAAATTTTCAAACCAAAACACAAGATTTATTTTAAACAGTATTAAAACTCAAAATAACCAAATTGCCCCGCTATTTACATTCATGGGGGTTATAGTGTCCTATATTACTAAAAACTACTCTAAATTCATTCACTCTTCCTTCATTCATTCTCACTAAACTATATACTAAAATTAAATTCTACAAAAAAAAATATTAACTACCAATGTCTTTTCAAACACAATTACTTATTTCTTGAATTAGTTTATAAAAATTACTCACTTTTTATCTTATAAAGTGTCTATTTTCATTAGTCATTATTCTACTTTCTACGATTTATCTGTCCTCTCTTCCTTCTTCTGTATATGTCTCGCCGGAAAACCATTATATATTTTTCTATAACTATCATTACACCTTACTAATTTTAACTATACGTGTTTGGTTAGATAAATTTGTTCATTCAGTATGTATTATCAGTTATTTAATTCGTCTTGACCATATCTTTTAAAAATAAATTTTTTTATTACTCCAAAAATTTTTGACATTTTCTTTCCAAATTTCAAAATTGACAATCAATAATCATCAAACCTAGAAACCACTCTTTTCTACTTACTTCCCCAAAGTCTTCACTTATTTTTTTTTTTTTTTTTTTTTTTTTTAATGGCACTGGATATAACCAAAAGGCCAGACTATTGTAGTAATCCATAACTCTTTAATTGTTTTATCCACTATTGTTACATGATTACATTATTATTATATTTTGACTTACAGCTATCAAAATACCTGAGTTTGTAATTAATTATAAAAAATGTCTATTTTTTTTATTATTTGTATTTTTGTTTTTTTTTTTTGTATTATTTTTTTTTTGTATTATTTTTTTTTTGTATTATTTTTTTTTGTATTATTTTTTGTTTTTTTTTTTTTTTTTTCATTTCCTTGGTTTCATTTTTTTATTTTATCATTTATTTTATTTTTTCGTTTCAGGTTTACAATATTTTTAGGGTAGCTCAGCTACTTACAATCTTGTATTAGTTTTTTTAACAAATTCATACAATATTTTATAAACTTTAACATCGTTTAATGAAAGCAGAACATCAATGTTTATTGGTAGAGGTATACCAATATTAACTAATTCTAAGTACATTATGTCAGTATCTAACGAATTTAGGACACACTCTAAAATTATATGATTGAGATCAGCAATTTCATCACAAATTAAACATAAATTATTATCTGATAGACCAAATTTTTCCTTGTAGGCAGGATGCATAGCATGATTACTTCTCATACGACAAATAACTCGGATAAAAGACCTATTTATTTCGTTTTTGAACCAGGGACACTTTGGAATATTAGGTTGAATGTTTTTGTATTTCTTCCCTTTTTCTTCTTTAGAATATGCATCTTTCCAAGTTTTAAACATTGATAATTTAGATTTAGCAATAAAATATGATTTTGGAGTTTTAATATTTTTATTAGTTCCCGAAACAGTAGCCTTTTTTGCTAGTATATCCACTTTCTCATTGTTACTAATACCTACATGAGATTTTATCCACGCCAACGAAATTTCTTTATTTTGTTCCAAACATTGATAGTTAATCTTAAGAATTTCTGAGGCTATATAGTTGGTAGGACTGGTAACGTTCCATTTTGCAAAATATTCTACTGCACTCTTACTATCAGTAAATATAACATATTTAGATTTATTTTCCTGAAGACATACGTTAAAAGCTTCGTTTATAGCAACAAGTTAAGCATTGTATATTGACATTGTACTGGGAAGTTTAAATGAAATTTCATAATTTTTGTTAGGATACAAAATTGCACATCCTAATTGGTTCCCAATTTTAGATCCGTCCGTATATATGTTTTCAAATGTATTCCATTTTGTTATTAAATCTTCTTTAAATGCGTTTTTAATCACTAGAGGGTTTTCATTCAGTAGATTTTTGTTTATATATGTTTTCAATGGCGTTGTTAAAGCTGAAAAATGTAAGGACCATAGTGGAATTGCATTTTGTTGATGGAGGTCTGGAATCATTTCAATGGTAGATAAAAAAGTCTCTACTAGTAAAGGAAGTTTTTTCTTTGACCAATACTTTCCAGTTAAACACAGAGAAGATAAATTGGATAAAAGAGGGAGAAGAACCGAATTTTTCGCCCTTTGATTTATTAAAAACTTTTCGGATAAAAATTTTCTTCTAAAATTGAGAGGAGGTTCTGTAGTTTCTGATTCTATTACATTAATTGGAGTACTTGGGAGAAAACCTATACTTAATCTAAGACATTTGTATTTTATTCTGTCCAATTTTTGCAAATGAGTATTTGATGCTTCATTGTATAATATTGCACCATAGTCAAAAATTGATCTAATCAGCACCCTATAAAAAAGAATTGCTATGTTGGGGTCTGCACCCCAATTATATTTGGAAACAGTTTTTATTAAATTTACAGCATTTTCTGTTCTTTTTACAATATAATTAATATGTTCTTTCCAGTTTAGCTTCTTGTCCAATATGACACCCAAGAATTTATGACTACTTTTAAGTTGAAATTGACAATTTCCTAGTGAAGCAACATCTGAAAGTTGAGTTCTTTTCCTTGTAAAGCAAACTACCGCTGACTTGTTTTCTGAAATTGTTAGACCATTTTCAAACAACCATTTCTGTATTTCTTCTACACCTAATGATAGTTGATAAATACTAGAATCAATACTTTTATGCTGAGTATACAAAACAATATCATCAGCAAATTGAAGAATTTTTGTAGGAATAGATATATGTCGTTCCAAATCTTGAGTATAAATAAGGTATAGAAGTGGACTTAAAACGCTTCCTTGAGGAAGACCAAATGAAGTTTCTCTAGGTCCTATAAATTCATTATTTATTCTAATCAATAACTTTCGTCTTGTATATAGTTTATAAATATGTAAGGAGATTAAGTGAGGGATCCCCAATGATATCATTTTTTGAATCAGTATTTCTAGATTGACATTATCATAAGCTCCTTTAATATCTAAAAACACAGCAGTGGTAGAAATTTGTTGGGAAAATCCAATTTGTATGTCAGTTGTTATGGTTGCAATACTTTCTTGAGTAGACTTGTTTTTCCTGAAGCCAAATTGTGAGTTTGGAAACGTATGACTCTCTTATAAATTTTACTATACAGGGTATAACATTTCCAACATTATTTTATTTCTTAATGTTCTTATTATTGTTGTTATTGTTATTATTATTATTATTATTATGATTATTATTATTATTGTTATTAATATTATTATTATTATTAGATTTATTATTATATTTGTATATAGGGTGTTTTCATTACAATACTCCAGATTCTTAAACCTAAACATAAAATGGGCTGTGAGCAATAGTGCCAGTGTAGTTCAAACAGAGCTAACGGGGATTATCATAGCAGCAAAAGAAGTCACCAGAAACAATATTACTGGAAGGAACATGCTCATCTATACAGATAGCAGACGAGCACTACTCACTCTAAACAGACCACTAATGTACTCAGGATTAGTACTAGAATGTCACGAAGCTTTTGCCGAAGTATTCATCAACAATGAGGTCACCTTAAGATGGATCGAAGGTCACGCCACATCAAAAGGTAACCGTTATGCTGATTCACTAGCCACGAAAGCAGCCAACCAAATACTGCAGAGTTGGCAGGGAGCTCTTAAGTTACCCTGAAAACACTGCCTGGTCACAGGCATTGTGACTGGTCATTGCCAAATACGGGAGCATCTCCATATCATGGGGCTGTAAGAATCCGCACTCTGCAGGGGAGCGAAAAAGAAGATGAGACCATCGAGCATATCTTTTACGATTTTCGACGCTCTCATTTATTAGAAGATTTATGTTCGGCGAGTATCGGCTAACACCGGCCTAAATAAGAGAAGCACCTCTTGGCGACGTTGTTATCTACATTAAATATGTAGGCTGGCTTACGAGCTAGGACGTGCCTTCATCTTAGGAGGATGCACAATGGGTCAAGTGAGGCCTAAGTGCCGTGGGGGGTAACCCACCCTCCACACGTTACAGATACAGATTCAGAAGTCATTCGGATTGCAGATGACTTCAAATGTTGCGGTTTATATTTTATTTCTCAAAAACCGAATGATTTATCGATACGCGTGAGACATGGTTGTGTTTTTTAAACACATATGCAAGTTTTACCATTTTTGTCAGCAAAATAATAATGAATCGTCTGTTTCGTGTAACTATATGTCTAAATCGTTTCCAAGTCGCCCATTTACTGTTTATATAAATGAGGTTACGTTTCCACAAGTCATTAACAAATTGAATATTCGTTAATATTTCACTTAAAAATTAGAAGTGATCCGTAAAAAAATATTTCTAAAGTAGGTCTTAAAAAAATTCACATGTGACAAGCGTACAATTCTTCTTCTTTTTAAGTGTCAGTTTAGATTTAATGTCGAGCCTAATGGATATGACTCGTATCCATTAGGCTCGGCTTTGGGGTCTATTCTGTAACAATTCCTTTATATTTTAACGACGGTTAAAATATTGGCGGCCTTTAAAAATATTTTCGTATTCACTAACTTACGTTTGTCATTATTTAAACGGATTCCTTTAAAATAGTCCTAAAATAACAATCATTTTTAACGGTTTTGAATTAAAAATTGAGGATTTGTATTGTTATGTTTTCAAACTATTTCAAATAAATCTTAAATGCGATGTTATCAAGTGTTCTCCTGCCATTTTTAAGGGAATCCGTTAAAATAAATAATTTTTAACTTGCCTCTAAAATTTGTGTATACAGAATACCATTTTTGGTTAAAACATTTAACGCTAATTTAAAAGCCTTTAAATTTTAACGGATGTGTTATAGAATAGACCCCTTTGTCGGTTATGGCTTACTTTAAAAACATTTTTTGTGGCTCACTCTTTATTTATGAAAACAATAGTAAAACATGTAAAGGATATTAGTTTATCAAGTTTAAAATAATTAAATGAAAGATCATGAAATATCTTTCAACTCTATTGAATGAAGTTGCCTCTTTAAATGTTTACATGTAGGTATACTCTTTCAAAGAAAAATTATTTTGGTAATTTGTGTATACATGGTGGAACATTGTCAAATTACAATAGAAATAAATATAGTTTTCACAGTGTAGTCTCAATGAATAGTTTTTTGTCCCTTTTACTTCAAAGTACCGACAGTTGTTTCCCTTTCTGTATTGTTCACCTATTCTGTGGTTTTGTGCAGAATAAATTTAAAAATCATAGTTCCTGCATTTTTATAATTAAAAGAATCCGTATATTTTTCAACATTTCATCATTCCCGAAGCCCTTCTTTTATTCCTAATTTACTTTCGTCTGGTTTGCTTTTTAATGAAGTTTTTATTTTTTCTTTACCTAGATATAACGATAACTTTCCTTCGACTAACATTGATTTTTATTATTTCATTTCTTTTATAGCTGTGAAGTGTATTGGACCTGGATGTGCTGGTTAGTTTAAATCTATTTAACTGTAATTTATTCATTCATAAAAAAAATATAAAAATTATTATAACCTTTAAGTCAGATAGATATTTAATATAAATTTTATTTCTTGTATAGTTTTCAAGTGTACAGGACTTCATTGCTATGCACCAACTACACCAGGTTAGTTTATTGATGATCTCAATCAGTCATTCATAAATCCTACTTTCTCTTAAAATCACCTGAGTTCCAATCATACATCCACAAATATCCTTTTTTTTTGCGTTTTATAGTAGAGACATATTGCAAGTTCACTTTAGGTCAGTCACTATTAGCCCAGCTCTTATTTTAACATCTGCGAGCATGCGCAGATCATTTAAGTTTTAGGATTGACTTTATTAAAGATTAGTTTTCATATTAAAGATAGTGCCTGGCTTTAAATGTGGAGATTTAACGGTAGCCAATAGAGTCGGCTTTCTTAGCTTTCGGGTGCGTTCGAAGTTTTGTAATATTAAATTAATTTTGGCACATGGGGTATTCGGTAAGAAAATTTTATGACAAAACCATCCAAAATCTTTGACAGGAAAATTAAATTCGTGACAGGTGCTAGTTAAACACATACTTTATTATTAGAGGTATGATAGTGGATCAAAATGTGGTTAATTTACTTGAAAAGGCTAGATATTATTCTAACAGTATTACACAATTATATAGCACTAGAGAAAAGGGAAAAAAATACGTCCACTTATGTTGCGAAAAAAGCAAAAAATTGTGGACTTAGTTTTATTTAAATTATTCTATATCATTGATTTTTATGACAGTTGTCAAGGCAGGTAAATTTCCACTTATTATTCTTAGAGCTAGGTAGGGCAATTTCCGAATAAATACAAAGGTTGTCATGGTAACCTTCAGATATGATTGCATTTTGTTGGCTGAAAATTGTTGTCATAAAATTTTCATCTAAATATCCTGAAATGATAATTTCTAATGTCTCTTTCATGTTATGTAATATTATAGACAACAACAAAAAACATTTTTTTATAAGCCTACTGCAACATACTTAGTTACAGTATTGTGGTTACTGTGGTGACGTCACACATACCATGGTAACCCTATTATTGAATGTCATATGTCAAATTTTATTTAAGTTTGGGGATTTCTAAACTTAATTTGAATTTTAGAAATTTTAGAATGTTTCGATTAGGTTATTTTTAATTTATATATATAAAATTGTTTGTCCTGACTGACTGACTGACCTATCAGCGTACCGCCAAAACTACTGAGTCTAGAAAGCTGAAATTTGGAACATAGGTTTATTTTATAATGTAAGCATCCGCTAAGAAAGGATTTTTGAAATTGTTAACTTTAAAGGGGGGAAATGGAAGGAAATGGGGGAGGAAGCTTTTAATGAAACTCTTTGTTCTTTAAAGTTAGAAACATAAAAATTTAAATTACAGCTACTGAGCATAAATAAATAATAACATGTTTCAGGGTTTTGGATTTTTTACATTTTAAGGGGTGAAAACGGGGGGTGAAAGTTTGTAACGGACTATCGATTTTTTTGTTTTCTATGAAGTTAGAAACATGAAAATTGGAATTGCAGCTACTCTGACTACAAATTAATAATGACGTGTTTCAGGGTTTTTGGATTTTCACATTTTACCGGAGGAAATGAGAGGTGAAAATGTATTTGGGAGTATCCATGTTTTTGGTTCTCTTTAAAGTTAAAAACATGAAAATTGGAATTGCAGCTAATGAGTACAAATTAATAATAATGTGTTTCGGGGTTTTTATATTTTTACATCTTGAGGGGGGCAAAGGGGGGTAAAAGTTTGTATGGAAGTATAACTTTTTTTATTCTCTTTGAAGTTAGAAACATGAAAATTGGAATTGCAGCTAATGAGTACAAATTAATAATGACGAGTTTTAGGTTTTTGATTTTCACCTTTTAAGGGGGGGGGGGGGACTGAAGGGGGAAAGTTTATTTGGAAATATCGATTTTTTTAAAGGTAGGAACTTGAAAATTGGAATTGTAGGTTCTCATCATAAATAAATAATGAAGTGCTTCATGGTTTTTGGATTTTCACATTTTAAGGGGGGGAAAACGGGGGTGAAAATTAATAAATATTACTAAAAATTAATAAAAAATTTATAAAAAAAATTTAAAAATTAGTAAAAATTAACAAAAACTAATAAAAATTAATAAAAAGTAATAAAAAGTAATAAAAAGTAATAAAAATTAATAAAAATTAAGAAAAAATATTAAAAATTAATAAAAATAAATAAAATTTAATAAAAATTAGGAAAAATTAATAAAAACTAATAAAAATTAATAAAAATTAATAAAAATTAATAACAATTATTAAAAATTAATAAAAATTTTTAAAAATTAATAAAAATTAATAAAAATTATTGAAAATTAATAAAAATTATTAGAAATGAATAAAAATTAATAAAAATGAATAAAAATGAATAAAATGAATAAAAATGAATAAAAATGAATAAAAATGAATAAAAATGAATAAAAATAAAAAAATGAAAAAAATGAAAAAAATGAAAAAAATGAATGAAAATCAATAAAACTAATAAAAATTATTAAAAAAGGAAGTCATGTATTTTTTTATATTAATAACACGAATATATGCGAGCAAAGTCGCGAGCAAAGCCGCGGGCAATAGCTAGTTATATTATATTCTAGTAAGCTTATAAAGAAATATTTCGTTAGATGTAGCTATGTATGCTTTGGTAACATATGAGGCCATAAGAGTAACCAAACCTTATAAAGAAATGCTTTAGTAACATAAGCATGTTCTAGTAAGTTAAGCTTATAAAGAAATGCATGAAGATGAACTACAATTTAAAGTTTTTAAAATGAGGTTAGGAATATATGTATAAGGCCAATGACTGGATTTTAACAGGGTCAATGATATAGATAGATACATAGATTGTTAATCCATAGATTGTTAATCCACAAAATAATTTTTTTTTACTATAAGTGCAAAAAGGTTGAAAATTGGTTTTATAACACATTTTTGCTAAACCGTCTCTGATTAATAAGCACATGTGAGGCAATATGACCGCCCGTAATGCGACTTACTTTAATCAATCTATATAACTATATCATTGAAAGGTCGTTGGAATGCCTAATTACAATAAATATACATAGTGAGCGATGTTTTATTTTTATAGCTACCCTGGATTTAAATAGTACTAAATGGCAAATTACTTTATTGAGATGGTTTTGGGAGTTTGATATTATTTAACGTTTAACACATAGATTGTTAACTCTCTCACGCTTTGTATAACGAGCTAGCAAAAATAAATAGTAATAATTAGGTATTATAATATACATTTTCTTTTATAGCAACGGCGTGTAGAGGGCCTGGATGTTACAAACTAGGTTAGTTTAAATATATTTAAGTAATTAATTTATTAGAAAAGGGCGAGCACTTTGAACGTTGAAAGTGTCAATTTCACTAATATCTTGGTAATAAAAGGTTTTATGATAAAAAGGGACCCAATATATTTTGGGAACAATTAAATATCCTATAATTTTTGTTTTTCTTTAAGTAGGTACATTGCAAATCATAAATAGTAAGTTAAAAACTATTATAAATAATTTCTCTACAAAAAGTATTTTGGTTATACCGGATAAAACTAGAAAAATCGAAAAAACTACCCGCAAAACGACGCTCTTGAACTTAAAAAGCTGTAAAAAATTACGTGATTCTTTGATTCTTTTAATAAGAATTTCCAAATAATTGGACTAATTGAATTTACATGGATTTATACGGTTCGTAGCTGTACTCCAAATAAATTCGATGTGATCGAAATCCGGTTCTTATTGTGTATAAGTTACATAAATTTTGTTATTTTTTTTTCAGCGTTCGATTCAGATCAAGATTCAGATATGTTAAATCTTAGAATTAGTGATGATGATGATGATATTAGGATAGGAGGTAATCACTTATTATGATTTAAAAATACTAGTTTGTGCAAGAAGTGCTAAAAGTATCACTTTTCCACCGAGCGCAGAGGTTTGTGATAAGAGCTGCAAATCAAAAGAGTTGAAAAAGTGTTATTCGGACGTGTTACAAACTATACTTTTAGAAAAATAAAGAATTAAAAATAAAAATATCATAAAATACATTTTAATACAATAATTTAAAAAATCTAAGTATAAAGTATAAACCCTCTTTAGTGGGATGTAGAAAAAATTTCATACAAAAGTCGAGTAGATTGTCGAAGTGCTCAAACTTTGTGTTCGTGCTATTCGGGCACCGCATACTTTCTTGTTGCATGAACTAATATACTAGAATTAACGTATTTATGATCATGTTAAATATATTTCATATAAATTATTCTTTTCTAGGATACTACCAACCAACAACCAATATTATTATGATCGATCCTACTGACCCCCCAACCCCTAAGCCGCCATTACACATCCGTCTACCATGGTTGCAGAGTGTATTGAACCGCAACAATACTTTAACTGTCAAGGGAGGTAAGTAAACTAAATTTTTGCACTATCTCCATAGTATACTTTAATCCTTAAAAGTAGGAATACACAGTCTCCCATATCGCTAAACTATAAAGGTAGATATATAAAGTTAACAAGTTCATAGTTTTTTATCATTAAATTAGAAAAAATTAGACCTAACTTTACAAAGTGTGATATTTCGATGATACTCAAATTTATTAGGCACTTGTGAGACATCACAATACTGGAAATTTTTGGGTTTTTCCAAAAATCGACAAATACAATATGGCGGCCATAAGAAAAATGAAAGTAGAGGCGGATTGCGGGATAGCATAAGGCGATTGAGACATGTCTTAAAAAAGTGTCCAAATAATGTCACATTTTGAAAGCTGTCAAATTATTCGTTTCGGATTTGAGGGCGAAAAACGAAATCCGCCATTTTCGGTTTTTCGTCGATATTTCCATTACCAACTGACCAATCGTAAATCTGAAACCGGTTATTAAATGCACTAAGTTTCCTTTAACACTTTTCCTATTTAACCTTTGCTGTAGCTATAATCGGAGCCGAGATCCCAAAGCGGTGCAACATTTAAACTGTCAATATCTTCAGAACAATCACTTTCACTATCGCACTCTATAATGTCTTCATTGGGTCTATTTAGAATTTTTAGAATTTGAAAAGTATTATCTTCCCACGGACGGAACATGTTGAAAATTGTTTTAAATATCTCAAAAAAAAAATAGAGTAGAGTCGCCTAATGTGGAATAACATTTTATTTTAATTAAAAAAAAATGATTTTCAATTTTGTTTTTAGATATTTTGTATAGATATAGGTAAAGGTATTAGGGATATATAGTTCATGTCATAAAAATATAAATCTCCCAAAAAAAAACATAAAAAAAATAAGAATATAAAATGAGCCTTTTTTTTAGATCTTCAAAAATGGGTTCCTAATCTGGAATACCTATGTTCCAAGCGAAAAATAACATTCGTTATAAAATGTTGATTAAAAAAACTTTGTTTTTTGAGAAAGAAGTTTATTTAAACAATAAAGATACAAATATATTAGCACAAAGAATTAAAAAAAAATTTAAACTAACGGCAAAAGTCGCAAACGTAGGGTTCTTTTTCGGGTCCTGCACACTCTTCATGTGCCCAACAGTTACATAGCATGCACATTACCCAAATTTCTCCTTGATTATTATCTGAAAACTTATCTTCACAAAAAATGCAATGTGCATCTTGGTTAGGATTATTTTCCTGTTTTGCAAAATCTTCTTCGTCATCTGAAGAATTCTGCATGGAAATGCTCGATGCATCAGATTCAGCACTTGATGAAGACACATCTCTCTTTTGACGTTTAGTTAGTGTTTTCTTCGTATTACGTCTACCTTCTTGAGATGACCTACAAGATGGATTTTCTGAAAATACATTTTTTTTACTATGCCCTTTTTTTGAGTCGCTGCGTTTGTGTCTTTCATTTGAACCGATTTCTCTAGGTCTTCCTTATTTGGCGTAGTAGTTATTATTTTGGCTTTTCCGGATTTTCGGCCTCTAGTGCCTACTTTTCTCTTTACGGTCGGTATTGGTGAAATATCTTCTGGACCAACAGCTTCTACACTTGGATTTCGGTTTTCCTTTTCTTCTTCTGCGGCAATCATTCTTGGCTGTGGGGTGGGATTATTGGCTATTGGACCAACATTACAAACCTCTTGTCCAACGGTTAGAAAGTCCACTTCGCTGAAAATGTTTCTCCTAGTAGGATAAATTCCTGTAGTTGCGAACCCTTTGACGGCTCGCTCCGCCGATTGCGTCTTTAAATAGGCTTGCCCAAACAGTTCGCAAACATCAAAGTGGGATATTGGACGTTGATTATTCCTTAAAAAAAATCCTTATTTCCTCATTGTAAAATGCTTTTAATGCTCCCATTACAGTTTTATCTAGAGACTGCATTTTGTGGGAGGTGTGTGGCGGCAAGGAAAGAATTGTTACAAAATTTTCTTTAGCCTTTTTTATAACATCAAGGTTTCTTGTATGTGTGTTGTGTCCGTCTAAAAGTAAAAGAATAGGGTTGGTTTCAGATGGGAACATATTCGATAAAGTGCTCGAACCAAGCTGTGAATAGATCCATTTGTATCCACCCTGATGGATGAAATTTAAATAAAGTTCCAGATGGAGCACCCTTTTTGAGTTATTCATTGCAATTCTTACGAGGGAATATAATCATTGGTGAAACAAATGTTCCATCTGCGCTCATACACATGGAAATGGTTATTAGAGATCCCCGTTATGCGGAAGTAATAGCTCCAATTTGACGTTTGCCTTTCATTGCTAAAATTTGGGGGCATTTAGATTGGACGATACATATGTCACATTCATCCACATTGAAAATCTGCCTAGGAGCAAAATTCTTTTCTTCCATGACGTGTTCAAGCAAGTCAAAGAACTCGTTCACACTTTGTTTATTAAATTCGGCAGCCCTTACAACCGTTGTTCCTGTTGGTCTTCTTATGCTAATTTTATCTTTGTGTCTTTTCAGAAATCCTTTGAGCCATTTTTTTCCTGCAGATTCCTGAAGCAATGAAAATTTATTCGGAATATTATTACGTCTCGCCAATTGAAATGCAAGAGAACGTAGATCTCTCCTAGTCAATCCAAAAAAGTTTCTTTCCATCTTAAGAATGTAGTCCACCAGCTTGGTTTCCAATTCTTTCGATAAAATAGGGTTTCTTCCTAAGGTTTCCTTCTTGATATCGATAATATTTTTGTCGCTTTTACAATATCTAAATAATGTGGCACAAGGAACTTTGTATTGTTTGGCAGCTCTTAAATATCCCATTGTATGAGTTCGTACTGCTTCTACTGCATTTTGCATATCTTCTTCCTTCCATTTGTGCTCTTTAATGTTCTTTTTTGGCATTTTTCCTGAAACAAATGCAAATATGCTTAATTTTAGTTATAGTTTCCTATTGTGGAATATTCCACTTTAGGGCACCTCTCCTATTCCACGTAAGGAGACTTTTATTATTTTATTTCATATCAACATAATCGAAACTAAAATGGTTATTTGCATTAAATATTAAGCATATTATAAAACTACAAACTATGTACTTTAACTCCACAAAATGTCTTACCTTTAATATTAATACCAACGGAGATAACACACCTTTTATTTATTGGTATAAAAATGTCTACTGGGCTTGAAACTATATTTGCTTCGCTCCGGTCGAACCATTGACGCTATCCATATCAAAGTCTTCCACGTACGAAAACATTTTAGGTGGGGTGTTTGATGCACTGGCTTGTAAGTAGATGGCGCCTATAGATCACCGTATAACAGCGTATTCCACTTTAGGAACCTATTCCACATTAGGCAACTTTACTCTATTAATATTTTGATTCGAAATAATTTAAAAAGGCACAAAACTATTGACCGAACTTATCGAGATTAGCACACTACAATAATTATCATATAATACAATATGTTCAGTCAGCCACGGATCTTCAATTTTTTTGAGGCGGGGCAAAAACTGAAGAATGCCGCCCTCACATGCCACTCATGGACATAGGCCTCTCCTAAAGAACCCCACAACTACCGGTAAACCGCTGCTCTTTCTCTGATAAGCTAATATTTTTTCGAAAAATACCAGGATGTGTCGAACTCGGATATATATTTCAATTAGGTTAGGACAGGATAGGGTCTGAATAAAACATGAGGTTAAAATTATTATTATATTACACATTGAAATTATAATTTTACTATTCGAGCCTTTTGTTCTGCAAACAAATTTATGACCTTAATATAATTAATTTGATGAGCAATTTGATTTGCTATTACTAATATAGCAATACTTAATAAACATTCCTGTCTCATCGAAGATCGTAGATAATTTTTGATACATTTTTTATATCTCCAAATAAAAGTGGACCTTGCTCTTTGGCAGAATTCAACCGCGTTTAAATCTCGCTCGTATTTTCGTCCCAGATCTGCTCCATTCTTTTGCAGTTCTTCATTTGACATATTCAAAATTTCAGTACCATTTAGAAATGCGAAATTCACATTCAACGTGGTTGCACTATCAACATTCTTTTTAGTTTCTGATAAGATTCTATCAAATACTATCATTGTTGCTTGAGAAAAAAGTTGAACTGGTTGAAGTGTTTGTGATTCGTCATCACACATCTCGTCAATTCGGAATTCGTTTATTTGGCAGAATAGGTTCGACGCCAGTTTTTCCAGCAACTTCTTTAGCCTCTTCTATCCAATATTCAATTGAATTTTCTCTCATTTTTTATAAAGTTTTCAACAGGCCATCCATTAAAGACACGGAACGTGCAAGGATTATATCTTGCTTTTGAATTTCAATATTCACTCGATTGATTTCGCGGAGAATATTTGCCCAAATCGTCAAGTTTAATATAAATTTAAAATTCTTTATTGCATTTAAAAGACTACCTGCCTCGTACTTTGCTTCCGGAGCATGAGAAATTTGCCTAAGTTCTTCCAAGGGATTCCACCACTTCCGGCAAATTATTTAAGAGGGCTTTTAAAGGTTTTGCCGACCATCTCGTCTGACTGCTTCCTTTTAAATTGGTTTCAACAAATTTCTTCATAGTATTCCATTGAGTAGTAGAGCCGACAAAAAAGCAAAATACTTTTTGAATTAATCCAAATAGATTTATTGCTTCCGGGCATGATGAGGCAGAATGGACACCGATAAGATTTAAGGAGTGAGCCAAACACGGTACGAACTCGGCCAGCTCATTCCTTTCTGTAATCCTGGCTTGCACTCCGTTATTGGTGTCAGCCATATTTGATCCATTATCATAAGATTGGCCACGACATTGTCTGATATCTAAACCATCAACTGTCAACTTTGTGCTCTCCTGTCTTTCCAGCAACTTCTATAAAGTCAATGAAACCTTTTTTATTTTACACACATCATCAGTTTTTTTTACTTAGCGAATGACCTGACTCATTTGTCTATATCCGACACATCTGGAATGCAATTGAACATTATTGTATAGTAATTGGCTTTGATGTCGTTTAGAATGCTATTTCTGACTGTATTTGCCATTATGTCAATAATTTCATTTTGTATTGTTTTTGACAAATATGATACTTTTCCTTATTTTAAGTTTTCTAATTGAAACTTAAGAGTTGAATTATGTTTGGAGAGAAGCAAAATTAAATTTAAGAAATTTCCTTGGCCAGGCTGAGGACATTGTGTGATGTGATCGCTAGGGATTTCATGGGAACCACGAAAAGAAAGACAGTTTGTTGCTAGATATAATACAGCATCCATAACCATATGCAGGATCTGTCTCCATTTTTCTTTTTCGGTTTGAATTACTCGCTCAGTGTCTTGATTAATACCCTGGCATGATTTAATTTGTTGAACTCGAGTTTTCCACTTAATCATACACTCTTTGTGCATTTGAGATACCTCGTGCTCGGTTAATTTCTCATAAGCTTTTTTCCAATTAATAAATCCTGTAGTAGACAATGCAGATGTACCGAAAGAGGAAGATTTCTGAAAAATCTTGCAGCATGCACAAAAAATTGCATTTTTTGTTTTAGAATATACAAGCCAAGATCTTTTAAGCTTTTCGTCATTGGTCAATGTTTTGTACCACATAGCAGATGTTAAATGTCTACCATCGCGTTCAGTTGATTAAAATTCAATGTTTTCTGGATGACTTTCTGCTAATAACACAGCTTGAGTAGTAAAGATCGTTGCTGGTCGGTCATTTTTTCAATGTCTGGCCAATTGCCCGGGTCTGTCAAATCAATTTCGGTTTTCCATTCTTCGAATTCGAGTGATCCGATTCAGATTCTTTGTATTCTGTCTCAATTCTTTCAAATTATTCTTGCACTCTCGCAGTTTGGATAGACGAAGCAGGTGATAAATTTTGATCATCAAGATCGTGCAAAGTGCAAGAAATATCCTCTAGTTGAATATCTTCGCAAGCTGTGGTAGGTACTGACGGGCCACCACCTTTGCTGAGCCACTTATTCATCTTTTCCGCATATTGTTTTCCCTGAAGGACTCTATCTTTGGCCTTTTTTCTATATTCCGCTCCCGATCATGGGCGAAGTTAAGGGGGGGCTTGGGGGAGCTAAGCCCCCCCAAAAACCAAATTAGCCCCCCCAAAAATAATTCGAACATTTATCGCACACTAACCCACGCATTTCAGAACAGAAATTAAAAAACAAAAATAATCTGTTCTTAGTGACAAAAAACTAAATTTTTGAGCTTGGCACTTATTTTCGCAGTCATAAATATTTTACATTTACTAAACTAGAACATAAAGTTATAAAAATAGCAGTCTGGTTTATTTCAGATAGCTGAAAGTGAGTCTGGCTGAAAATTTTCGGATTAAAAAAATTGACTGATATTTTTCCAGGCTTGAAATTTTTCATATAAATTAATACAATCATAAACTGTAAATTATAATAAGTCTGGATGATTTACGAAATTGGCAAATGAGTCTGGCAACATCTTCAAAATCGGAAAAATATAATATTTTTGCTTTTATTTTCCCAAGTTTGAAAATTTGTCACATGATAGATTATATTATAATTTTACACCTCTATTTTATAGCCGATCAAATGCAGTTATTTTAAAACGCTTCCATGACAACCAGAGGACATTTTTCTCTTGGTGGGTACCCTGAAAGAAATTATACTGAGATTTTTTTGACATTTGAGAAGTTCTTTCATACATATAATATGACGCAACGCAATAAATAAGTTATTACCAATAAATTTTTGCTCACTCACGAATAATTTAAGAAAATTCGTTAAGTTCGAAAAAATTTCCGAAAATAATTTAGGCACTAGTGGTATTCTAAGTGAAAATACACGTCTGGCTGTTATTTATAATTATGAAGGCCTGCCAGGCTCATAAGTAGGGTCTGACCGAAGGTTCGATTACGGTTTCGGCCAACTTCGGCCTAAAATAAGAATTTCGACTACAGTTTCGGTTTCGGCGGAAAATTGGCCGAAACGGCAACCGAAAGCGAAACTATTTTCGAAAGTTTTCGCATCATACTTGGTGCGACTGTGTCGGGTGCCATTTCTGCACAGTGCACACAAACTTCTCTGCTGTGTTCGAAGTGAACAGTCTTCAGTGCTCCTTGCCTAATTTATTCGGATCAAAGGAGCAATTTTTTAGGTAGAAACGTGGAAAAATATTATTTCTAGCCTACAACGTTAGGCTGTATCCTTAATATTAATTTAATTATAAGTAACAAACATATTTAATCAGCTGAATTCATTTGTTTTTTTTTAAATATACATTAGGTACCTATATATAATTCGCTTTATAATATTTTTTTTTTGTTAAAAAAATCTACTACAGATGCAGGAATGATTACTACTTTGTAATTCACTTGCTTTTTTTTTATTTCAAAAAGTAATAAAAAACCATGTCAATAAATTTATTTATGACTTCTTTCTTTTGATTACATAAATAAATGGGTAATAGGTAAATGTCGCTAAAATTTATAATATGAGTTAATTAGTCTAAAACAAGGATTAGAATAGGATATTGCAAATTTCAATAAGAAATTGTCTTAAAAGAAAGTTCCTGTTTCTGTTTCGGCCGAAACTAAGAAAGGAGCCAAAATTCAGTTTCTGTTTCGGTTATAAATCCCTGTTTCGGTCGGACCTGACAAGCCAGGTAGTTAAATGAGGAGGGAAAAACCTAAAAGTGGCGGTGGAGCTGAGGACAGCGCATCTGCCTTCCACGCAAATAGCCCGGGTTTAAATCTGAGCTAGGGGTTATTTTTTTATGTTTAGTTTATTTTATTTTATTTTATAAATTAATAAAATTCATAAATTATTTTAAAATTAGTTATTTTGTCTTAACTTAAAATAATTTTTTACATTTATAGACTTTCGTTAGTGAGTCGTAGAAAAAATATAGTGTACAACTCAAGTGGATTATCCATATTCACTCTTATTGCACAAACTACTATTTCATGACTGCGAAAATGAAGGATATTTTTCAGTTTTTTCACCTGAAAGGTATAAATATATATTATACATAATATATTTATTCATACTCATAGATTAGCCAGAATTTTTTTACCTAACTTCAATATACCTCTTACTACTAGAACTATTAGGTACATATTATATTAGATGACTAGGTCCAGGGCTTTAGCCCCCCCAGATCTGATGACATAACTTCGCCCATGCTACCGATAGTTTTTTTCGTGGCGCGCTCATAATTTCAACCTATAAAACATAAATTTGATATGTGAAAAATATGTATTGTAATGACTTTGTAAACCTCATTCTTTACAAAACTCAGGTAGTACAAAAGGTGCGTAATATGCTTAACAGGTATTTAATTTTGGGAATTTTTAAAGCTAGTACCGTTGTAAAATCACTCAACGTTCTGGGCAATTGAAAACTTATCCGATTATAGATTAAGCAGGTAGTAAGACCCAATAAACACTTGACCTGTTTTGCAGATAGAATTCAAATAAATTTTGATTATCTATGAATTGATTTCAAAACCCTATTGAAAAAAAAAATATTTTACTATTTGCCGTTAACTAAGAACGTACATACTTTGTCTTATAAGTCAATTGGGGGGAAGGGGGTTGCCATGTTTAAATTTTAAGTTACGATAAGCAATTGAAAATTTCAAATAAGCAATTGAAAACGAAATCTTTTCGTCTTGTCTTGGATCTAATTTCAAGAGAAAATGTCTCTCGTCTCAATCTCTCGTCTCTCGGCATTACTACGTATAACCTTTGGACATTTGAATCGCTAGTGTATATATTATAGCGTTGCCATTTTTAATTCTAACTTGGCTAATCTACGATATTTCAGAATGTAATCTTTTTACTTTAATTTACTTATTAATTTGTTTTAGCTTTGTTGGATCTGGGAGAATACGCATCGGCCATCGCCTCTCAAAATTGCACTGGAACTCCCAATAATGCTTCTGAAAACGGATTGTGTACACTTCTTAGTAAATGCCCGCAAGTTTTCCATTTTCTCACCGATTTCCAAACATATGAGAAATTTTCGTGCCAAGTCAACAACCAGTAAGTACTTAATTATAATTATATCTACAATATTAGGTAAATTAACCATGTTTGTCTATCTTAATTTAATCAAATGTATTACCTAATGTGATTCGTATAAAGGTAAGTGGGTTGATCCTCCAAGATACACCCGTGACCTATTTACATTAGTATTTAAGTTTACAATTTTTGACAGTTTGTCACATTAACACAATAAGTTATGTATATAGAGCATTTTCATAAAAACTACAACCATTCGAGTAAAGAATAATTCTTCAAAATATGACATAAACATTAAGTGATGATGTATCATAATGACATATTCTAACAAGATCTGTTTCCCATGTTACTAAATTGGTATCATTAGTTGGCTTGTTGGCTAACAGTAATCACTTCAGTATAAGAATTCACTTCATACTTCATTAGTAACACTGAAAAATGTCACTGCCCTATTTGACAGAACTAATACTAAGTTGTCATAAAAGTACCGCGGGATATGGGTGTAAAGATTAATTAATTAATAATAATATATGACTTAAGTTGGATTTAATATATATGGTATTAGAGGTGATAAAATTAAGAGGATGAATATTTTCATAGTATTTAAATAAAGCTATTTAAAAAAAATGCATTTATTTTTACCAAAACTGACTAGTTTAGTTACAATGTAGTATAATAATTTTTATTTGATGGTGACTCATCTGTAAATTGCACTGTGGTCGGCTGACAACAATGTGCATACGAAAGGTGGGAGATATGTCAATACCAGTTACTTTTCAATCTGAAATGTAACCGGTATTGATATATCGCACATCTTTTATGTGTATTCCACGCAGGCAGGGCAGTGGAGTCGAAGACGCTACAAGTTTCGCAGATGAGTGACCAACAATACAAAATTATTATACTACAGTGTAACTAGTCAGTTTTGATAAAAATAAATGTCATTTTTTAAAAATAGTTTTATTTAAGTGACATAATATTTTTGTTCCGTCAATCTTCAAACAAAAAATTATAAACTTCAAATAAATAAAATTACTACTGTAAGTCACCATTTTGATTAAACTTTTCCTCAGTGTGGAATTTGGATCTATAGAGCCTACCGGTCCAGCAGGAAAAAGGGCCCACTTATCTATGATGCAAAAGAATAGTGACACAACTCGAAAATTTCCATTTTCGAGTCTATTGTAAAAATATATAGCCAAATCAGTATATTTTTATGTGGAAAAACGACGTATTATTCCAAAAACAGTTGTTTGGTTCTTCCCGTACTAAAAAATCGCGAGTTATGACGAAGAATCTAGTTGTGCTACGTGTTTTGGTGTTAAAACATTGGTTCGAACTATGAATTCCAACTAATATTTTGTGGATAATCTATTTTTAATCTTTATTTCAAATTTCATATAACATTGTATTTTCAAATCTACAATGACGATTTCTAACAAATTCTTTTCGCCTTCTAATAAAATTATATTTTATATAAATTTCAGATTGTAACAAATACTAAACATACCCCCGACCTTAAATGAATATCCTTCAACAAATATCCAATACACTTAACAAGTTATAAAATTAAAAACTGTAAACAAACATTCTAGAACCAAATAATTTTAGTCTTTAGGAAGAGGACACAGCTTGAAAACTCGAACCTTCTTATCTGAACCTTAATGAATGTTGGTGATCTTTGAAAAGTACTAAATGTCCTAGTTCTAGGTTGGCCTCTTCCTTGATCCACTTTGTCCTTGTTTGCAATTCCATGATATATATTCTTTGTACCACCGCTGCCAAATTTTTGAATGTGTTGATTTTTTGACAAGCGTTTATCTGAGATATCGGTCACATTTGGGTCTGACATAGAAACAATTCTTCGTGCTGGAGTTAGCACATCAAAGTCATCTGGGCTTGTAGAAAGTGGCATAAGTGGACGATAATTTAAGACTGCTGCCACTTGCGTGAGTAATGAATAGAAATCTTCAAAAGTTAATTTTTCATCCCCTAATACCATTTTCAAACGAGATTTAAATGATTTTACTCCAGTCTCCTATAATCCCTCAAAATTTGGTGAATAAGCAGGAATACATTTCCAATTTATACCTTCATTTGCAAATTGTTTTAATAAAAAAATATTCTGAGATATTAAACAAGTACCAAACAAAGGACGGCTCCAGTAGGGGGGCCATGCCCCGCCCCCTCCCCCTCCCCGGTGATCAAAATTCGTACGATTTATGGGCCGCTTATTCAAAAAAATATGCTAAAAACGGAATGGCTAAAGGCAAAGCTCCCCTCCCGAAAGTTCATCTTGTACCAAACTACTTTAAATCAGTATTCATCCTTACAAAATTAGACCCATTTTCTGAAAATATAGTTTGAGGTTTACCTCCACGTTATACAAACCTCTCTATAAGCTATAAAACACTCAGCAGTTAAATTTCTTACCAACTCTGATAGACAAGCAGTTTTAAAGGCAATTCTCTCACCAAAAATTAAATCATGATTGGTCAAAGACTGTCTAGAAGACCTGGCAGAGCTAAGTAGTCAAAACAAGGTGAACCTAGCCTGGGTGCCAGGTCATGAGGGATATCTTGGCAACGAAAATGTCGACGAATTAGCCCGAGAAAGCTTAGATAAGGCCCTGACAGGCCTCGAACACTTCTGTGCAGTTGCTAAGGCATTGTGCAAGGCATCCAATAAAGAATCGATGCAAAAAGAGTCTCAGGATCAAAAGCGTCAAATCGTTAGGATAACAGTGGGTCTTCTCACCGGACACTGTCGATGTCGAGTGTCATAAATCCAGCAGAAGAAGCAACTTTGTGCAGGTTCTGTGAAGAAGAAGAGGAAACATCATTCCACGTCCTGTGCCAATGTGAAGGCCTGGCTGTAATGAGGTTTCTAACATTGGGCGAAGAAAAGCCAAATGCATGTAACTACATGTGGGAGCCACTGTCAAAGCTACTAAGTCTAATAAAAAAGACCAGGCTAGACGATATACTCTAAAACAAACGGAATCTTATAATAGATCTGATAAGGTCGAGGTGGACAAGAACAAATAACGTGCAACTTCCAATCTAATCTACCAACTCTAAATGTATAGCACGAGTTGATATAAAAAGTGATATGTAGCATTTAATGAGATTATAAACTCTGCTAATTTTATTTTTAATATATACTGGACCTGCGTAGTCCACTCCAATATTCCAAAATGGATGAGTTAGCCGTTACTCTCTCCTCAGATAACACCCCGATAATTTAGTAGTCTTTGGTTTTACTCGAAAACATCTTTACAATTAAAAACAACCTATTTGCTAAATTTTGTCTCCCTAGCGTCCAAAAATTTTCCCTAACAGAAGACAACAGCAACTGCGGTCCACAATGTAGTAGATTTATAAGTTTAATTTCAAATAAAAGTGTTGCGAATCTGTGGGAACTAGATATTATCTACTGATGCTTTTTAACATAATCAAGTTCAGAAAACTGAAGCCTTAATACTCCATTAAAATTAATAAATGGATGTAATCTCATGATGCGTTTATGCTTGATAAGGTTTCCATCCATTAAATTTTGTATAACTTCAGGAAATGCATCGTCTTCTAAACTATTGACTAATTCTACTGTTGATAACGGACCTATCAATGTATTATTAGAATTCTTAAGATTATGTGCAAACTTTTTATTATAAGAAACCATCCGTTTTAATTTTGTAAGACTAGAAAATGTATCAAATAATGCGAGGGATATTTGACCCACAGCACACAATGTTAAAGTACTTTTTACTTCATGTAATCCTTCTACTACTAACCCAATTGATTGAGGCTAATCTTTTTTATCCAAAGAGAACCATGTATGTCCTTCCCACCACACTTTACTTATAAGTAGATCATTTGGAACCAACCCTCTAGATAGCAGATCTGCGGGGTTTGATTCAGATCTAACATGACGCCATTCTGATGATTTACTTAAACTCTGAATTTAAGAAATCCTATTGCTTACAATAAATGTGGTGACATTGGCAGCCACCCCAAAAGTATTGTAGAATCTGACTAGTAATTAAAATCTGAGATTTTCATATCTATTGACTGTCTAATTTTTTCAACCACTTGTGCAAGTATCAATGCACCAAATAACTCTTATCTTGGAATTGCTAAAGATTTTAGAGGTGAAACTTTAACTTTGGCAAATACAAAAGAGGTTTTTTATTATTATTTTTTTTTGTGTGTGTCATCGGCTTCAACTGCTAAGGTTATTTCGCCTCGTGTTCTGTGTAGGCTTTGTTCTGTTTCCCAGCGCCACTTTAGGAACAGCACTGTTAATTAGAACCCAACAGTGAATGGTCTAGTGGGGAATCCTACCAAGGCATTAGAATTAATTTTAAATAAATTAAATGAAAAAATTCCGGCCAACGGTGGGATTCGAACCTGGGACTCTTGGATCCACAGGCAGAGGCTCTACTACTGAGTCACCTACCCCCGTTTATTATTATTATTATAGAGTCTATTAAGTTTTCCATTGCTATATCCACTTTCCAAAATGAATTTGCCACCTTTTTAACATAATTTTCTTAAAATTTCGCACAATTAGGTAATTTTAATGTTGTTTTGTTTCAAAAAACATAACCTTTTGTGACCAGATTAGTTCAATAAGATTTAATTCTGCATGGTTAGGAGGCAATCTGATAATTTTAATTCCTTTTTCTCAAGCCATCTCATCTATAATATATTTTTTGAATTTGTTTTCATGTTACTTTGCTATTACGAGTAATTCTGTCTTCAAGGATTTAAGAGGACTGATAGTATTTTTAGAATAAAGCCAATTCGAAATATCTTCTTCTTTCCATCTTGTTGTAGGTAGTGACTCCTTTAATTGACTGTGATAGGATGCATCATCCAAAACAATAACAGAGTAGGCTGGAATTTTTTTTATAATATTCTGGAACCAATTTTCAAACATAGAGCCATCTATTTCTTCATGGTAGTCTTTTGATTTTTTTGACTCGAACATTATATCTACCAGCCTCGGTAAAAATGTTA